GTTATGAAAGGCAGCAGGATGCAGTCACCTGGAGCTCAGACTCCCAGGGAACAGTAAACACAACCTACTTAGGAGAGCCTCAGCAGCAGGCACTGCTCCCTGCTTCCATTTATCTCGCCTCCATACCTTCATTTTTAATTAAAAAGATAATACTTCTGGAAAAGTCCCCTCAGCCTTTCCAAAACACTCCAGTGTCGTGTTACCCAAACACAGCCAGAGAATTAATTCCAATTAATTGCTCCGGAGCACTCGTGGCTTTCTCCAGCTCAGTGATGGAGCTCAGAGCTGACAGATTTACAGCCAGCAGATAAAAGACAATTGGCAGAGTTATCCCACCCTGCACTGCACCTGCCAAGAGCACAAAGACTCGCTCTGTTCTGAGCCATCTCCCACAGCAAACCACAAGAAGTTCTTGGAGCCCATGATGAGCTTAGAACCTGCTTTGGAGCTCTGACAGAGCCGAGCACTTGTGTGCAGGGCAAAGGCCTTGTGTTCCTGTGCCAGCTACACCTCACTAAAAACTGCTCCTAATCTGTTTTCTGTTGGCACAATAAGAAACAAAGGCTCTAAACTAACGCCCTGACCTAATTATTTTAGTGCAGATTTGCAGGGGTTCTTTACCAAAGAAAAACACCCACAAATAACTGTTAGAGTGCCTTTTCTTTCCCAGGGGAGAAGGAGGGGTGGCAGAAACCTGCTGCCAAGCAGGCAGGACTTCCACAAACAGGGACTCCACAGGTGCATCCCCTCCTCAGGAGCTCCCCAGGGGCTCCCAGCCTCCCCTGGGAGGGGTTTTAGACTGGGTTTTACAGAGCCACACTGGGCTGAAAGAGAGCTGCCCCTTCCTCTAGACCCCCTGACAGAATCCCAGACTGGTTTGGGTTGGAAGGAGCTTCAGTCCCATCCATCCCACCCCTGCCATGGCAGGGACACCTTCCCTGTCCCAGGCTGCTCCAAGCCCCAGTGTCCAGCCTGGCCTTGGCTATCCAGGGATCCCTTCCCAACGTTCTGGGGCTGAGCTGGTGAAGGAAACGAGCCCAGGTAGTGCCAGGGAGGCAGCAGCACAGCCCAACCCCCGCTCTGCCCTAAGGGGATCCCCCAAACCAGCAGCAGGGAACAGCCAAGAGCTCCAGGAGAAACCCAGACCCGTGCTGGCCCTGAGCTGCTCCAGCTCCTCACATCCTAAAGAACAGAGCCAAGGAAGGCAGGGCAGGGCAAGAGGGGGCTGTGCCCACCAGGCCCTGCTGCTCAGGGGGCACTGGGACCCACAGCAGGGCTGTGCCAGGCTGTGCCAGGGCAGAGATCCTTCCCACTGCTCCAGGCAAGGGCAGAGGAGGATCCAGAGCATTCCTGCTCTGTTCCAGCACTGAAGCCAGGAAGGTTGGGGTTCCCCAAGTGTGATACCCACGGAGCAGCCAATATTCCCCAAATAACTTCCAGGAGCAAACCACATTTAGTGTCTGCCTGCTGGGGAGGCTCTGGAGCTCTGACTGGCACTGAGCTTTAGTTATTATCTTGTAAAACTTCAGACTCGTGACAAACAAACTCTGAACCAGGCAGAAAAGTGCATTTTGTGCAATTCCTTCCTGACATTTTCTCACCTGGCCAATAAAGGAAGGAGAGCAGCAGGGCACAGCAGGGCAGGGTGGATTTTAGCTGATCCTGTCACTCTCCAAACCCAATACTGCTCAGCCCAGTAATGATCTTGGCACCAAAGTTTTGTTTAAGTTTATATAAACTCATTCACACCCTTCCCAATCTTCCAGGGACATGAGACACGCTGAAAATCCACTGTTTTCCCTGGAAGCAAAAAAATCCAATACTTTGCCTTTTTCTAACACTCAGTTTTCTCCTGTTACAGCATTTTTCCTTTCATAAAGGTTATAAAACAAGACCTCCAGCTTTTACTTTGTAATTTCACCAAGAACAATTTTACTTTTTATTGAGAGATGTTAAAAAAGAAGTGGCTTTTCTATATCAACCTGCCACTGAGTAAGTGACTGTCAGACAGAAAGGAGCATCCACTGAGGATGGTTTGGATCTGAAATTTTTAAGGCTGAATATCAGTTTTTCTGTTCTATTCAGAGATAGAACCTGCCAGGAATGCACAGAGAACACAGCACCACCAAAACTGTGCTTTCTCAAAGAGTGGCTGTTTATTAGCCAGCAGTCATACACAAAATGAGCAAGTTTGGGGAAAAAAACACAACAAATACAACAAAAATCAGCTTTTTTTCACCTGGAGTAATAATGAGTTCCTCTGTTATTTATCCAGACATCTTCAGTACTCTATCAAATGCACTAATTACCAAGCTCATCAGGAATCAAAGACAGATTAAATACAGAGAGTAATCTGTACAGATGGATTTTTAAAACAGGATTTTAAACTCCTTCCAGCCTCTTTCTCAGTCAATATCCTGTGGTATTTGGCTTATATAGAGAAACTTAGCTGTGATTTTAAACTCTTTTTCTGCTGGTTGGTTTTTCTTTGTCTTTTCTCTCACCTCCAGCAAAGACGCTTCATACTTAGAAACCATTTCATTTAAGCAACTATTAATTCTCATAATTAATGTGTAAGCAAAAGAGTTCGGATTGTTTTCCATTAATGATTTTATGCAGGATGGGCAGAAAAAGACCATCCACATGCTGCCTCAAACAGGAATGCCAGTTCCTGGGAGAAATCTCCAAGGATGTCCCCCTTGGTACTGACAGCCCAAGAGCCAAAGTTCAGTGGAAAATTGCTCAGCCCAGCCCTGGAGGGTGCGATGTGGGATGCACCTGGGGCAGGACGGGCTCCCACCGTGCCTCCCGTGGGGCTGAGGGTGCAGCCAGGTCTCTGGTGGCTGCCAGAGGAGTCCCTGCAGCGAGGGAGCGCGCGGTGCTGCTCCGGGGCAGCTGCCCTGAAATCAGATCAGCACCCGCCCGGACACTGAACAAGCACCAGCTCCAGCCTCGCTCCAGGATTTGCCTTCCCGGGGAATTCCAGAGCCTGTGGTGCTGATGCAGTGCCCGCAGGCAGAGCCCAAAGCCCTCGTGAGCTGTGCTCGGCTCCCTGCAGCCCCTGCACCCCAAAATCCCTCTCAGCACATTCCCAGCTGCGCCTCTGGTTACGAATTCCCCAGGAGCGCTTCCAAGGCACAGCGGGAATTGGGTCTGCCCTGCCAGAGCACATCAGGACGGGCACATCTCAGCTTCTGGGGCAATTCAGGGTTCATTTCACAGCCAGCTCAGCCCCTGGGGCTGGGGAGCCAAAGCTGAGCCTGGAGAAGGGGACTGCCCAGAAAAAGGGAAAAAAGAGGGGGCAGATTTAGCATCACAACAGTCACATCCCCAGCCTCCAGCTTTCCCTGGAAGCATCAACAGTGCACAGGAAAGGACTATTTTCCTGTTATTCTAAACCCCTAAATGCTCCAGGATTCCCTTTCCTGCCACAACAGCCATTCTATGTTAAATTTGGAATAAAAGACAACAGAGCCCACAAAGACTCCTGATTCAAACCCAGATCCTGCTTTAATTGCCATATCCATCCCATAACAGGGCTGCTCATCTCCTCATTCAAAGGCTTGTCTCAGCAACTGCAAAATTACACAGCTGAAAACCTCCAAAGCTGGACTTCAGCAACGAAATATCCCAGAGTTTTTGCACTCCTAATATTCTGGCAAGACCTCAGAGCTCTCCAAATAAAATGAAAGATCTGTCTTTAAAGCGTGGTTTGAAAGCAGCAAAATAAAATCCCAATAAAGAATGATGAATAGGACACAAAGAGCAGTGGGGAAGACACAACAAAGAGAGCAGCTGGTAGAGAGGGAATGAGTGGGAAAACAGCCAGAACACAAACTTGTGTAAATTCTGCTCTGCTCAGTCCCTGCAGCACGGGGTGAAGGTACCAAGAGCGGGCATCCATCCTGGATCCCTCCATCCCCGGCTCCATCCATCCCTGGTTCTACTTATCCCTGCCTGGGTCCTCATCCCTCCATCCCCAGCTCCATCCATCCATCCATCCCCGGGTGCCCTGCCCAGCGCTGGGCGGGCAGAGGCGGTCTCCTACCCATCCGTCTGTCCATCCATCCCTCCATCATCCCTCCATCCCTAGGTGCCCTCCTGGAGCTGGACAGGAAGAGGCAGTGCCCGTGGTTCCCCATCCCTCCATCCCTGGCTCCATCCCTCCATCCATCCGGAGCAGGATGGGCAGAGTCAGGTACTCCAGCCCTCCATCCCCGGCTCCATCCATCCCTGGGTGCCCTGCCCAGCGCTGGACGGACAGAGGCAGTGCCTGCGGTGCCCATCCCTCCATCCCCAGCTCCATCCCCCCATCCATCCATCCCTGCATGCCCGGGTACCCTGCCCGGCCCAGGGCGGGCAGAGGCGGGTCCCCCATCCCCGGCTCTATCCCTCCCTGCCGGCGCTGGGCTTTCAGGCTGTGCCCCCGGTCCCCCATCCCCGGCTCTATCCCTCCCTGCCCGGCGCTGGGTGGGCAGAGGCGATGCCCACGGTGCCCCATCCCTCCATCCCTCCCTGTGGGCGCTGGGCGGGCAGAGGCGATGCCCACGGTGCCCATCCCTGGCTCTGTCCCTGGCGCTGGGCGGGCAGAGGCGGTGCCGCGGTGCCCATCCCTGGCTCTGTCCCTGGCGCTGGGCAGGCAGAGGCGATGCCCGCGGTGCCCATCCCCGGCTCTGTCCCTGGCGCTGGGCGGGTAGAGGCGATGCCCGCGGTGCCCATCCCCGGCTCTGTCCCTGGCGCTGGGCGGGCAGAGGCGATGACCCCGGTGCCCATCCCCGGCTCTGTCCCTGGCGCTGGGCAGGCAGAGGCGATGCCGCGGTGCCCATCCCTGGCTCTGTCCCTGGCGCTGGGCGGGTAGAGGCGATGCCCGCGGTGCCCATCCCCGGCTCTGTCCCTCCCTGCGGGCGCTGGGCGGGCAGAGGCGGTGCCGCGGTGCCCCCGCCCCGGTGCCCGTCCCTAGATAAGGCCGGCAGCGGCGGCGCTGGGGGCGCGGAGCGGGGATGGAGACGGGCGGGTGCCGCATGGGCGGCGCGGGGCCCGGCGGCCCCGGCGCGATCACGCTGGAGGAGCTGGACGGGCTGGCCGAGGAGAGCCCCGACTCGGCGTACCACAGCCACGGCAGCAGCCTGGAGGAGGAGGCGGCCGAGCGCATGGACGACGAGGAGCAGGAGCGGCTGCTGAGCTACTGGCAGAGCGTGGGCCGGGGGCACCAGGTGGACGTGCCCCGAGGTAAGGCCGGGACGCGGGCCGGGGCCGGGCCGGGGCCGCGGGACACGGCAGCGAACGCCCGGCACAGCCCTGAGGCACCGGAGCCCGGCTCTGAGGCGGCTCCCGCTGCACCCGGGGCGGTGCAAAGCTCTCCACAAGGCAGGGAGGCGGCTGCAGCAGCGCCGGGGCGATCTGTTCGCACTGAAAACAACCAGTGTGAGTTTACAGACCTAATTCAGTGATCTGTTCGCACTGAAAACAACCAGTGTGAGTTTACAGACCTAATTCAGTGATCCATTCACACTGAAAACAACCAGCGCGAGTTTTCAGAGCTAATTCAGTGATCTGTTCGCACTGAAAACAACCAGTGTGAGTTTACAGACTTAATTCAGTGATCTGTTCGCACTGAAAACAACCAGTGTGAGTTTACAGACCTAATTCAGTGATCTGTTCGCACTGAAAACAACCAGCGCGAGTTAACAGAGCTAATTCAGTGACCTATTCACGCTAAAAACAACCAGTGCAAGTTTTCAGATCTAATTCAGTGACCCATTCGCACCAAAAACAATCAGTGCGAGTTTTCAGACGTATTTCAGTGACCGATTAGCACTAAAAACAACCAGTGAGTTTTCAGATCTAATTCAGCGATCTATTCACACTGAAAACAACCACTGCGAGTTTTCAGACCCAAAAAGAAGCCAGTGCAAGTTTTCAGAGCTAATTAAATATTAAACTGACTACCTGCAAAAGAGTTCTTCCTAAAAGTATCCCCTCTACCCCTGTATCGTTCTCCAAGGAAAGAGGGCTGTGTTTACAAACAGCCCAGAGTCAACAAGTAAAGGATTGATTTGCTTTCAACAGCTCCTGGGCTCATCTTAGTCAGAGTCGGTTGTTTTCAATTTTAAGAAAGACTGGGGAATCTGAAGGAGTGATGAGTCAGAGAACTCCTAACCAGCAGCAGAGAGCCACCACAGGCTGAGCTGGGTCAGATTTAACTCTGCCCTGTCCTGGCCAGAGGAGCACACAGAGATCTGCAGCATCTCTGTCCTGGCCAGAAAACTCACCTTCCCGAGGTGGGGAGAGCCGAACCCTGCCCAGGCTGCACTGGACACTACCACTATTAAATTACTGTTCTTCAAAAACTCTTTCTATATTCCAACACAGCAAACTGAGTCCATCCTTTCCCAGCCACGCTTGGAAGTCTCATCTTAACTCTGTAAAGCTTTAATGACAATTAACGTGCTAAAAGAAGGGTAAGACAGGTCTGAGCAGGGCTCCCTGCCCCTGGAGGGTCTCTGGATGCCCAGGGCCATCCCAGAGTGTCAGCACTCACTCCAGCAGCCACGGGTTTGCGTCTGGAATGCTGCAATCTGACAGTTCCAGGATCCCCAGGGCACGGAGGGTCTCTATTTAACGCCCCTGAGTGCAGCAGGAAACCAGAGCCCTTCCCCAGAATCACCTGCTGCTCTGGTGCCTGGCACTGGGACTCCTAAATTCCATCAGGAGGGATACAAAGTCCAAGGAATAAGTCAAAAGCAGGGTGTGAGCATGTTTTAGTTACACAGTTTTCCATATTATTTAGTTACAACAGTTACACAGTACTACAGGTTTGCTCTGCAGCACTCAGCACAGGTTACTAAAATCAAGATGGAACAATACAAGTTTTTTAGAGTAATACAAGGTTTTTAGAGTAATACAGGGTCCTGTCCAGGGCTGAAGGAGGAGGGGATTTTCCAGAAGGAGGAATTCCCCTGTGACAAGGAGCAGCCCATGTCCCTGCTCTCTGGGACAGGGACAGGACCCAGGGAATGTTCAGGGTGGATTTTAGGAAAGGTTCTTCCCCCAGAGGGTGGAATCAGCACTGGAAAAGCTGCCCAGGGAATGGGCACGGCCTGAGGCTGCCAGAGCTCCAGGAGAGAGCACAACACCCTCAGGGATGGCCAGGGTGGGATCGCTGGGGGTCTGGGATGATCCCTGTGCATCGCTCAAACCATGACTGCAGAAAACACAACTGTCCTGTCCCTCTGCTGCCTGCCTGGCCCTGCACAGGTGGAGCTCTCCTGGGACGACACAGAGCACAGACTCGGAAACTGAAGGATAAAACTCCCCAAAGGACTTCAATCAGTTGTAATCCCTATCCTCTGCATTAATATGGAATGCGAAAAACATAACCCACCCCCACTAACTGATAAAGTAATCTAAAAATAGAGTTAATTCTAGAGTCCTGAAAGCTTTCCTAATTCTTGGAAAATTCACAGGTGAACTCTACTTTTATTTTTCCCTCAGCCTCCGAAGAGATCCATTTACATGTCAGTTGTTAGTTACATTTTAAATGTTTCCCAGTGACATATTACAAAGGAGAAATGTCTTCACTTAACTACAAAGTAGCTTTTTTACCTTTATTTTTTCCTCTCCCCTTTGTTTAAGGATCTTTACTATTCCAAACAGCCTTAAGGCTAAACCCCTGAGCGGATGCCGGGAGATGGAGGTTTGATTCCCAGCTCAGCTCCAGATTTACTGAGTGACCTCGGCCAAGTTAATTCTCCTGCATCTTAACTCTCCCCTCCTCTCACACATGGATAATAAATACTCTCCTCCCCCATTATCCTGCCTCCTCCTCCCGAGGCACCTCCAGCTCCCCAAAACGGGCTCTGGGAGCTGAAACTCCTCCTTGTCCTGCATGTCCAGCACACACCGTGGGGCAGCAGGGCAGGGCTCACATCCAGACTGTCAAACACTGCACATAAAATCAGTTTCTAATCCTCCAAGTACACAAATGCTTCATCACTCCAGCTCTGGAAGGCAGGGCACAAACTCTTGTGGAAGAGAGGTGTTCCACTCCTAAGACTGACCTTGTACCCACAGTTTGTCTGCGCCTGTCTGGCAGGGATCACCTCCCGAGCAGGATTTATTCATGACCTTCAGCCAGAATTGATGTCAGAGCAGCCACAGTGATAGAATTAAACATCCTTTGGAAATCCATTCCCACAGCAGTATTTCCTCGAGCCTGCCAACAGGGCAGCCACCCCAATGTCCTTTGTGTGGATACACCTGACTCCAGCAGCACAAGAGGTGCTGAGCTGGGAACGGCCCCTGCACAGGGCCAGGAATGGGGCACAGCCAAAAGCCTTCCTGGACACTGGGGTGGGAAAAGGAGGGAATGGGAGAGGGAAACCATTCCTACCAGCACAGGGGCAGAACCCAGGGAACCTCTGCTGAATTTGCAGGCAACCCTGACATGGGAAGAGATGAGAATCTTGACCCCATGTTTCAGAAGGCTGATTTATTATTTTATGATACATCATATATTAATATATTATATTAATATATAATTGATAAATTAATATGAAGATATTATAGTAAAAGAAAATTATATACTAAATGATTTACTAGTATAAAACTATACTAAAAGAATAGAACAAAGGATTTCATCTGAAGGCAAGGAAAGGAAAGATAAAATCTTGTGACTGACCAGAGTCTGAGACAGCCAGATTGTGATTGGCCATTAATTAGAAACAACCACATGAGCCCAATCCCAGATGCACCTGTTGCATTCCACAGCAGCAGATAACCATTGTTTACATTTTGTTCCTGAGGAGATCCTAACAAAAGATCCTAAAAAAATCCTAATAAGGATTTTTCATAAAACACGTCCATGACAAACCTCTCCTAGGAAAAGCTTTTTCCTTGCCCAGAGAAGAGCAAACCAAAGCAGCCACAAAGAGCCCCAAGGAAATGAGGCCCATTTCAGTCTCGTTTCTGGAGTCTCACGTGGGAACTGTGGTTCTGTTGCAGACATGGCAGAGCCCATCCAGCAGCTGACCAGGAATAACAACCCCCAGGAGAGGCAGAGCATCCCCTTCACCCTGATCCAGCGCAAGGAGAAGGTACTGCTGCCCCCCTGCACACAGGGCTGCCGCCCTGGCCCCCAGAAATGGGAATGGGCTCCTCACAAAGGGATTCCAGCTCTGTGGGACTCTGAGCATGGCTGCAAAGCATTGTAACTGTGCCGCTGCCTCTCATTTGGAACACCTCATCCCTTGGACGAGTGTCATTTTCTTTTTTGCGAGCCAGAAGATGGCCAGGAATTATACCCTTTGAAACATAATTAATTTAACAAAAACCCCTCTCTGCCATTTGAAATAAAATGCCCCTTTGCTTCACTTAAATTGCTGAATTTGCTCCTTTACAGTCATGTTGATAAAACCTTAGCAAAGAGTACTTGAAAGAGACGAATAACTAAATTTAAAACTAAAAATGTACTTCTGTATCACGGATCATTATGAAACAAAGCAGCAATTTATAAACCCATATTATCCTCTAATAAAAAACTGAAATTAATGTTCAGCAAATTGCTTGCAGCTCAGGGAATGTGCAAACAAATGTTTAATCTTAAATCAAAACCATGACAACCTTTCCTGACCATCTATGAGTGCTTTTTGGCCACATTTCTTTTAAATAGATTTAAATAATCCACACTTATAAATATCATCATTTGAGAGTGTTTCATTTAAACACTCTAGTGTGTTTAAGTGAAGTGTGGGACTGCTGACTGTTTATGTTGAAAGCATTTTTTAATGTTACAGTATTACTGTAACAACTGCAGCTAAAAAATGAGGTTATTCAGTGTTAATTGCAACTAAATGTTTAATAGTGCCAGTCCAAAAGATGACAGATCCTTATTTTAAAGGAGAACTACCTACAAATCTGCTGAGTCAGTTTTGATCCAAGATTAGCAGTGTATTCCTTGGTTTAGAGGAGGAAGGATTAAAATTCACGTTTCTTTCAAGGTCATGGCACTGAGAGCTGAAAAGATGCAATTCTTGTGCTCAACTTGTATTTGTTTGGCTGATGTTTTTGGCTGACAATCCCAGATTCCTCCCTGTGTGTCTGCAGCTGGGAGATCTGCTCTATGAGAAAAGGCAGTATGGGAAAGCCAAGTGGGCTTGCATCAAGATGAAAGAGAAGCAGTATGAGCAGAGCATCTGCCTCGGGTTCATGAAGCTCATGAGGTACATCTGCGAGCAGAACTCCTCAGGTAATGACACCCCAACCCCACAGCAGCTAGAAAATTGTGTTTCTGCCCTCTCTGCTGATTAGGGAGATGCTTTGAACAGCTTCTCCCAAATACACACCCTATAGAGATGTTTTTTCCATCATACAGCCTTTCTATAAAAATCATAGAAATCCTGGGATGGTTTGGGTTGGAAGGTGCCTAAATCCCCTCCAGTGCCACCCCTGCCATGGCAGGGACACCTCCCAGTGTCCCAGGGTGCTCCAAGCTCTCTGCTGTAACAGGATTTGCAGAGTTTCACAGCAGCACTGAAATCACCTGGCAGAGTGTGATACCAAAAGGGAGCAGAGTTTTCTGCCTCCTTCCCTTTCGTTCAAGCTATTAAACTGTCCCTGTCCCAATGGACACGGCAAATTTGTGGTTGAAGCATGTTTTCCAGCAAGATAATCCAGTTTTAGCTCAAAATACTGGCAAATCCACCATGTCCTTGAGAGCTTGTGCCTGCCTGTAAAACGTGCACCTGGTGTGCAATCCAATTTAATCTGGTTTTCACTTCCAGACATCAGTTCTCATATTTTTCATTCTCCAGTTACTATCAAGTTTTGCCATGCTCAGTGCTCTGTGCTGTAATTGACTCAGCCCTTAAGTATCTTTCCAAGAAAATACAAACATTGATCAGAAAAGCTTTTCCTTCCCCAAGGTACCTTCCCCATTCTTTTAACACTTTAATGTGGTTTAAAAGTAATTTTAGCTCCAGAACTGCAGGGTTGTTATCAAACTGTACAGAAGGGATGTTCCCTCTGCCTCCTGCAGTCCAAACACACAACAATGCAAAAAAATACTGCAACATTTTCAACAGCAGCAAACCCTCAGTGAATTCACAGAGCAGCCCCTTCTCTTGCCTGCAGTTTTGTTCCCAAATATTCAAACCATGACACAAGGTCAGTTTGAAGATGAACACAACTCTTTTTAGAGGGGAAAGACTTCAGGCAAACTCCCTGCCCTGCATGAAGAGGGGAGAGCTCACCAAGTGCTGTGTTTTGGACACAAATGCACAAACATCTGCACATACACACACAGACTACAAAGCACAGGGAAATCATGGAGTCACACATGGTTTGGGTGGGAAGGGACCTTAAAGATCTTCCTGTTCCACCCCTGCCATGGCAGGGACACCTCCCGCTGTCCCAGGGTGCTCCAAGCCCCAGTGTCCAACTGGTCTGGAACACTTTTAGGGATGCAGGGGCAGCCACAGCTGCTCTGGGCACTCACTGCTCCTCCAGCTCGGAGCACACCCACACTGCCCAAACCACCCCAGTGAAATCCCTTCATTCACCCCCCGGTGCTCATTGAAACCCTTCAGCCCGAGCCCAGCAGTGTGCACAGTGTGCAAAGCTTCCCCCGAGTCTCCTGAATGCTCTGACCCCCTGTGTGTGGGCAGGGCTGTACCTGGGCATCACCGTGCCCATCGTCACCATCGTGCACACCAACGAGGCGCAGTCGGCGATGACACAGGCGGTGACAGTGGCCTATTACCTGCCCGAGGTGCTGCAGGACGAGCCCCCACACCCCTTCGACTCTGACATCATCATCGAGGAGTGGCCTGCCACCATTGTCTACAGCAGGTGAGAAACGCTCTAACTGCTCTGCTAAACGCAGGAAAAACACCCGGCTCTCAGTCCGGATTTTTAGACCTTGTAAAACTTAATTTCAAGAGTTGTAAAAGCTGCCTGGTCAGGAAATAAAGGTTACAAAATTATAACAGGGAAGGGTTTTGGGCACTGCCCAGGCTCCCCAGGGAATGGGCAAAGCCCTGAGGCTGCCAGAGCTCCAGGAGGGTTTGGGCACCACTGCCAGGGATGCCCAGGGTGGGATTGTTGGGGGTCTGGGCAGGGACAGGATTGGAATCCACAATCCCTGTGTGTCTCTTCCAGCTCAGGTTATTCTATATTTATATCAATTACTTGGTGAAATGATGCATCTGTAATTGTGTGCTAAAACACCCTCAGACTATTCTGTACAGTCGGGAACAAAGTGTCTGACACGGCACAGAAAAAAATGGTTTGGGATTAATCACAGTCAGTACCATTGGTGAAACACAACCAAGTCATTCAGAAGGCATTTGTGGAAAAATAGTGGGTTTAAAATGAACACAGTGGCTCTGGAAAAATGTAACAGAGGCTCTGGAAGAACAGTGAGTTTAAAATGAGTCACAGAATGAACTAGGTTGGAAAAGACCTTTGAGATCACTGAGTCCAACCTATGCCCTGACACCACCTTGTCACCCAGACCATGGCACTGAGTGCCACTTCCAGGCTTTACTTAAACAGCCCCAGGGATGGTGACTCCACCAGCTCCCTGGGCAGCCCTTTGCAGTGCCCAGTCACTCTTTCCCGAGGAGCTTTTCCTCAGGTCCAGCCCAAGCCTCCCCAGGTGCAGCTTAGGGCTGTGCCCAGGGTGCAGAGCCACCCCAGCAGCGTCAGGGAGCTGTGGAAGCAGCCAGAGCTGATCTGAGCTGACCCCTGCAGGAGCTTCCGAGGGATCACCAACGAGGACTCCATCATGAGGGAGATCAACCTGCTGGCAGCCATCCTGGAGAGCCCCGAGCTGTGCCTGCGGGACACGTTCATCATCGCCGGCTACACCAACCCCGCGGCCGCCAACCGCCACAACGAGATCTGGTTCCTGCAGCGGCCCTGAGCTCCTGCTGCTGCTGCTGCTGCTGCCCTCGGAGCCTCCTCCCCTCACAGGTGACCCCAGGTGTCCCCTGTCACAGGTCAGCACTGGGCATCTCAGCTGGGTTCGGGGCAGCCAGCCCAGCTCAGCTCCCCAGGCACAGATCCCTATGGCAACTCTCACATTCATTTCATGGAGGGTTTTAGCACTTTAAAGTTAGTTCACCTTTTCTATCTTATTGACCAGGTAAGGGAGGCAGAAACCTCTTCCCTTCCACATCCCCAGCCCGCCTGTGGCTCGGGATGGTCCCTGGGGACATCCTGGAGCCCGGGCCTGCTCCGGTGCTGCACAAAGACCCCGCCGGGGCTCTCAGTGTGACACACCAAACCCACCTCACACAGGCACAGCAAGAATGTCCAGGTCTCAGTTCCTCAGGAGAACTACCAGGTTCAGCCCACTGGGATAGAGCATGGAGTAGGAACAGGCCAATGCTGACAGCTGTGGCACAGAGATCCCCAAAGCTTACCTCAGAAAGCTCCCAACCAAAGCGCCCGAGTCTGGAGAGAGACCAAAACTCAAGTGTCGACAGCAAAATTACAGGTTATCCTCATCAAAATGACAGGTTATCCTCACCACACCCCCCAGGAACCCCATGGCTGGCTCTGGCACTCCTAAGGAGACACTGGTCATTTGGAACTGCAGCTTTCTGAGCAGTTTATTCTCACAGCTTTGCTGGGTGCTAAAGCACTGCAGCTGGAGTAAACTGCTCAGCACTTCTGGCTGTTAATGGCATAAATGACACAAATAACCACAGAGAACACCTCAGCTAGGAGTGAGCTGGGGCAGACACCTCTGCTGAGGGCAGGGCTGCTGCTCCAGGCAGCACAGCTGGGTTTGAGCACCCCAGGGACAGGGAGCCCCCAGCCCCTCTGGGCCCTGTCCCAGCGTCTGACCACCCTCACTGTGAGAGATTTTTCTCCCTAATATCAATTTGTTGTTTGCTTTGCCCTCACCCCCGTGCTGAGCCCTCAGCTGGCAGCCTGGCTCTGCAGAGGCTGAGCCCCCACATTGCAGAGCCCCCAGAACGCTGCTGCTGGGAGCAGCATTGCCACTGCTCCCCACAGCCCAGGAGCACCTACTGCACTTTAGAGTCAGGGCAGCGAACAATCCTGCTCTCCAAAATCCCTCCCTAGTGTCTCCCCTTACTGATGTGATGGTAGAGTTTATTCTTATAGAAGTAAATATTTTTATATCACATTCACTGAGTACATCACCAGCATTATTCATTGGTTACAGGATTTAGGGTTCCAGCAGAGCCTCTGTGCTCTTCAATTCCAGCACACAGAGCAGCGACCAGAGCCAGGGGCTGCCAACTCACAGCAGGGTGAGAAAACAACCCCAAACACGGATTTGTGGAGGACTTCTGAAAGAGCCCAGAGGCTCCTGGTCCCACAGGGAGGGAGGGCTCTGTGCTCAGCCCAAAACCTCTCCCTGAGCAGCAGGATCAGAGTGGCCCCGGTTTAAGCAGGACCACGGTGCCCTCTGGTGCCTGCTGGGCACAGAGATTCCCTGGGAAGCAGCAAGGAGAGGGGGAAAGGAAACAGAAAATAAAGAGACACAAAAGCCTTAGTTTTAGCACAAAAAAACCCAAGAGTTTTTATGGAGAGGGGAGAAAAAGCCCAAACAAACAAAAATGCAATAGAGTGTCCCAGCCTGAGAGAAGGAAAATTAAAAATGCCAGCCAGTATTAAACTAGAGGCTCTTAATTAAAGAAAAACAGAGAAAGTATTTTTAAAATTGAGTTGACTAGAGGGCCGAGGGAGGCATTAAATAAAAGGTTTTGTTCTCATATCCTCCCCCAGATTTTTGTAAGAGCACATAGAAGTAATTTTCACCTCTGACAAGATTTTATGGCAAATTAAAGAAATTTCTGCCATCTGAATTCTTTTGCCAGTGAGGGAAATTCTCCTTATGCTTTGGCACAACAGATGTTGGATAGCTCCTGGAAGCAGTGAAATCCTCTCTCTCACCACAGAGCACCAGTTTGTACATAATTCACATTTTAAGCGCCTCCTGCAAAAGCCTCTGCTGTGTCTGATGCCCCTGCCAACCCCTCCTGTGGCTCAGCTCCCCGTGGGTGATGTTCTAGAAACATCCTGGAGCACGAGCAGATCTGTCTGAGTGTGCTGACATCCCACCTGCAGCCCAGCTCTCCCTGCTCTTTATGGCAAACTGTGAATCCCCAGGTAGTATTTATTTATTTTCACTTCTGTTAGATGGCTTCTGCTGCTGAGAAAAAACAAAAAAAACCCCAAAAAAACTAAACAAAAAACCTACTTCAGCTCCAGTTTGGAGATACACTTTATGGCTTGGTACCAACAGCTGCCACTGGCCCTCGGGAGCACAGGGACCAACAGCTCCAGTGTTTAGCTGACACAAAATCCAGTTTATTCAGTTGTCACACCTCTGAATGCCAAGCAAACATCACTGCTACTCAGATCTGACACACCATGTCAGGCATGACTGCCTAGAACAGGTATTTTGTTGTCCACCCGTGGCTCTGCTTTGGAGCCACTCGTGGATTTTCAGTTTTAATGTGAAGCTATTAGCTTTCCACTCATGAAAGGAGATAATAAATCAGCATTCACCCCTATTTTTGGAAGATTAAATGATGTAGCCTTAACAGATAAGTGTTGTCCTGCATACTGTGTATTTTCCAAACCAGAGTTAGTGCCTAAAAAGTTGATTCCAGCTATTGTGATACTCAGGGCCTTGCTTATTGTACGTAAAGACATCTCCACAGAGTTGCTCTGGCGTTGTTGTGCTGTGCTGTCTGACACTGTCCTTTGCTCACACTGAAATGTTGTCTTGTTTACTGTTTGGCACAATTAAAGAATGGTTTTACTGTGCACAGGACACCTGGCTCTCGTTCCTGCAGCACACACAGCTGCTCTTGCTCTCCTGCCTTGGGACACTGCTCTGATTTTACAAAAGCCAAATGTGAAATGGGCACCTCAAGCCCCAGAAGCTGAGGGCCAGGAGCCCTTTCCCCAGGAGTGAGGCTTGGCCTGGGCACACACTGAAAACCCTCCCTGCAGCTCTGGGTGTTACTAGAAGTTGTGTTCTCCAGGAAAGCAGCAGCACTTGAAATGCAAATCCACAGCAGAGGAAGGAAACAGAAAGCACTGCAGGGCTGGTGGAGCCAAACCAAGGTGCTCACCACAGCTTGAACCCCAAAACAAAGCCCTGCGCTAACAGAGCCCTCAGAGGCACCTGCAGCAATGCAAAACTACTGTGAAGTTTCTCTTTAGCACTGGAAGTTCCTCATTGAAACACTCTCAGATCCCTGGGCTGCAAACATCTGATGCACTCACAAGTTTGCCTTCCAGTGCTCTTCACACAGCTACACCAAAATCCATCAATTTTAACCAAATTCCCAGAATTCCCAGGCTGGGAGAGACCTTCAGGATCATCGAGTCCAACCCCAACAGCTCAACTAAACCCAGCCACACCCAGGCTTTGTTAAACACATATGCTCCGAGGCCAACAGTGGGATATATAACTCAATCCTAGCTTTTTATGCCTCTAAACAAAAAAAGAGCAGATATTTTACACTTTCCTGACTGGTGTTTTATGGAACATCATTTGCCAACAGGTATCTTACTGAAGGCACAGATCACTAAGTTACAACTGACTGACAGACAAACAGCTCTGGTCCCCAAAAATCTCTTATATTTGGGCAGTAAAGATTGGTAAAAAAGAAAAAGATGTCATCATCATAATAGAAATAGGCCAATAAAAAAAAAAATAGGCCAAACTACACTTACAGATGACTTAAAGCTTATTCTAAAGAATATTCTTAATCACAGAAAATGTTCCAGGCCACACACAAATTCCTCAAGGCATTGTCAATATCTTAATACTCAGTTCAGCCAAAGGCAGAAACCTCAGTTTAGGTCTGGTGTCAATTTTGTAGACTGCTGAAAGAGGGTGAGGAAAATTCAATTCCAAGTTTTCCACCTGAGCTTTCCAAGTTACTGCAAGGTAAAAGGTGCCACTGGTGCACAATGAAACTGCAGCTGCTGGAGTTCAACCCACGGTGCTTAATTTACCCTATAATTAAAGTTAATTACATAAGAAATTGTTGTCTTTATAAACACTGCAGGTCTAGACAGAGATAATAAAACATTTCCTGTTACTGACCACTGACCAAAAAGGAAATGCAGCCACTCACCTTGATGTAAGTGTTCTGAAATTCTACCAGTTCTTCCCCAAGTGGAACTACAATTTTTTCCACTTGTCTCTCATGAGAATAAGGCTGAATTTCTGGAGAATCTTCAGCACACACCTCTATCTGAGCAATCAGCAAATTGGAGATAACTTGTTGCACAGCCTGGTAAAGCCATAAAAACAAAGTAACTATTTCTGTATTTTAGCAAGGGTTACATAAAATTGCAAGGAAAAGGCACCCACTACCTGCAATGAAAAAAGAAAGGACAGGAAATAGAATTCCAGACTTGGGGATTGGAAAGGAACCTTAAATCCCATCCCACCCCTCCATGGCAGGGACACCTCTCACTGTCCCAGGGTGTCCAAGCCCCCATGTCCAGCCTGGCCTTGGGCACTCCAGGGATCCAGGGGCAGCCACAGCTGCTCTGGGCACCTGTGCCAGGGCTTGCCCACCCTCACAAATCAATAAAATGTGGTTTACAGCATGAGAAACACCAAAGCTCACCAAGTAATGGATTGTAAATTATTCAGCCTTGATGTGGAATTCCTCAGGGGCCTGCAGAGGCTTCAGCAAAGGGACAGAGCTCCCACCCAGCCCTGATTGTTTAAAGCATACCAGGAGCTGTGGCTCACCTTGGTGTCACTGCCTGGGGTGGCGCTCAGGGCCAGGACCCGGAATTGGTTTGTGTATTTGCTCAGCTCCCTCACAACCTGAGAGCAGGAAAGCTTCATTAATGCCCTGAGAGGAGATTATTTCCTTGTGCAAACTACAGCAGTGAAAATACCCACTGAGCAGGAAAGGCTTAACAAAACACTCCAAAATACTGAATCCCAGAATGGTTTGGGTTAAAGAGACCGTAAAGATCATCCTGTTCCATCCCTTGTCATCCACAGGAACACCTCCCATTGTCCCAGGATGTCCCAATGTCCAACCTGGCCTTGGGCACTGCCAGGGATCCAGGGGCATCCTGGAAATGTACCAAGAACAACCTGGAAAAATTATGAAATGATTTCTCACTTGATTTAACAAAAGCATTGACAGCCCACTAATTCAGACGAGCTGCCAAAAAGTGAGTCTGAAGATAAACTGTGAAAAATGTAATTAATGGATGATTAATCCTATGTAATCTGAAATCCATAACTATCCAATAAATTTCTCCAGTGTACCAAAGTAACTTCTTAAGTCACCTATTGCTCTCAGGAGATTAACTCATGATAATGCAACAAACCCTTGGCTAATCAACACAAACCCCAAATTTAAAAAGAAATCTTGAACTGACTTATCTCTGCTAAAGAACCTTATAAAAGCACTGTTTTTTAACATTGCCCAGCCAAAACTAT